CCTTTCTCCATTTTAGGTTGAGTTGTCTAGAAGGAGGGCTTCCATCAAAATATAAGTTGCCTCACGCTGTACAGTTATAGCGGTGTTTAGTTTTTGAATAAATGAAATGAGTATGCTAATCAACTAATATATGTTCATAACCAAACCATGATTTTCCTTTATCTGATATGATACAACGATACAGTAATTGTCTAAGTCTATATTAATTTTATTTCTCAAAAAAACTTTATTTATATAAAATGTCGATTTTGACACATTCAGCTGTACGTGGGAGTGTGTGTAGGCACCGTTTATTCCAAAACAAATAAATATAGTAATAAATGAGTTATTAACATAATTCATATTAACTTGTGAAACTACTCTAATTTAGGATATTTTCGGAGACGGTTTCCAGATATTTGAAAAAAGTGGTAGCCACTCTAAAACAACGATAGCAAGAAGTATCCCAGTCTTTTTAAACAAATATTTTTCAGTAATCGGTTAGAAATATTGTTTATTTATTTCAATATAAAAATATCCTCATAAAATCTGTCGTTAAATGAATTGACTTTTTGTTTCTATTATGAGACAAATAACGGATCCTGATGTTAAATCGCTTCTGACATGCAGAGTACTAAGTTAGCTATGTTTTCCGTATTCGCTATGTTCGTTGAGTGTGTTGAAAATAGTTTTTATTACTCATGAGGCGCATGAATTGCACATATTATTATTTTTATTACGAATGCAGTAAAATCTTAGGGTCTAGAGGTGAAGTCCCGGTGGGGTCCACAGATTTTTATTCAGTTTCGATTGACATAAATAACTATCAACTGTCATTTAATTGTCACTTTTTAGTGGGCAATAGACAACTTACCGCACTTATGCACAATATACTATTTTTGATAATAAAACACGCAAAAAGTGACATTTAAATGACAGTTGATAGTTATTTATGTCAACCTAAACTGAATAAAAATCTGAAAATATATAAATTAAATTCTGTGAAAATATGATTAGAACTCCTACAATTGTATCAGAAAGTGATCCAAATACAGATCCGCTCTCGTGGGCAATAGACAACTTACTGCACTTTTTGCACCATATACTATACTGTTGTTTCAAACAGTCATGGCTCATAGGCGTTTTTAAAACACCGCTTAGTTATAAACTGTTTTTGCCTCGGTTCTCATCATGTCATTGGTATCCCAATGATTTTAGCAAAAAAGTTATTATCTAAGAAAGTACCATATCACTCGTTTTTTGTAATTCCTTAGGAATTTTCTCCCACATGTTAGGCTTGTTTTGGTTGTCAGCGGGCAGTCCTAGAACTGTTCAAAAATAGTTACCCAACTATGTATATTGTCAGAATGTCTTAACTTAGATGTTCAACTAATTTGAACCATTCTAGAACCGTTCTCTGTCGGAACCAAAACACACGTGTTATCTGTATCTTCTGATTTCGATAGTTTTGGTCTACAGGTTATTATTTTTTTAATAAATTTATTTCTATATTTACTAAATTCAGTTATAAACAGTGTAATTGTGGTACATGGAACACGCTTGTCGTTAGCGATGGCGATCTTTTAAAGCAAATCTGCTTCGATGTGTCCATTATCGTATCGAATACACTCTATATGGCCACGTCCATCTAAGCTAATGAAGGCATTTTTAATATACGTATATAGTGAGCATAACAAACACAGTTAGCATAGCATTTTCTGCGATTGCAAGATTAACCACTTTTAACGTGTATAATGAAATTGAAAAATATTTTATTTCTAAACCATTTTCTGGGCACTGTAACAAAAAACCCTAAAGACTAAAGATCAACTCATTCTACAGGCTCACTGTTTTTATTTTATAAAATTATTAGCAATATTATACACTCAACATATATGTTGCTTAGAAAAATTATTTATTTTATACTTTTGTGTAAGTATATCTATTGTTGTTATAGTTTAATACAACATGATTTTTAACTATAACAATCTTATTAATTACTATTCTTTATATGTAATGATATGAATAACAAAAACATGTATGCGGTTTTTTAATGTTTACAAGGTAAATATCGAAATCCAAAAAATTGTTGTATATGCATACCGTACCCTTATTTTAATATTGCTGAAAACATTTTTTTATGACTTCAATTGTTTTCGAGATATTAACAAATTAATATTACTTTTCTGAAATTGTCAGCTTTGATATTCGAAAAGAGTTTGTTCAAACTTTTTACGTTCAAATTAATGTGACAAGGACTAAAATTTGCGTAACCGCAAATAAATACAGAGCCTTCAGAAATGATTACAAGCCAGGTAACCAGTAATTTTGTTTGTAACACTTTATTTCCTTCACGTTGGCAATTAAATTTCGGCAAAATTAAAAATAATGAAAACAATAAGGTCAAGATTATATTAAATCAGAACAGTATGTTTCATTGGCTGGTGATTGGTGTAATTTTTCACGAGATTTTATTCAAGCAATCAACGATCGCATTATCGCGAGCTTAGATGTAACAGTTTGTCAATGTTTATTGGAGACAAATCATTAATATTGGTGACGTTAAAATTTAAGGCTTTTTAGTTGATAGTACTAGCCGTGCAATGTTGGGTTGCCTAAGCTCGGCGGTCACGTGGCTTGTAAACATTTATGAACGTTTGTAAATTATGCCATACATTTGACTCAGTATGCGAAATAATTGTAGATACGTTAATTTCGAAGAAGAAAGTTCCAATAAACATATTTACATCAAGGTTGAGAACTTAATTTATATCTCGGAAATAGTTAAAACATTATAAAAAGTTAAATAGAAAAAGTCACAACCAAAAATTATTTTCAGTAACATCAAAATGAATGTTTCTGAGTAAAATAATAATTAAAAAATACTACAGCATTACTGGGCGGTATAAATATACAGAGTATTTAAGAAATAAGTATCAACATTTCAATTGCGCAATCAACCCACTAAGAGCAACAACTGTTATCTAGTAATTTTTTTTTGAATACTCACTTTTTCGTTTGGTACTTTGTTCTCATTAAAATAACGCTAATGAGCTGCCTATGAATTAAAGAAATATCTAAGTAACGTATACAAATGTTTTATGGAACAATTAATTATTTTAAAACTGTTTGCTAGCGTAAATGTTTTAAATACTGACACTAATTAGTTTCTATTTTTGTGCATCTTTTTATTTATTACTGCTTCATTAAAACTAAAAGAAACATGTACAGAATTCAAAAACTTAAAAATATGTAATAATTATATAATTTTGCATTATATCATAACTACAACTACTGAATTTTAGGAAAACATATTGAATAAAATCCCCACTACAAAAATAAAATAAAAAAAAATAAAATATATATTCAGGGTATCACAAGCACATGATCAAAAAGGTACTGCGACATTCTTTGGCTCAAAAGAAGACATACATATTTTCTTAATGGAAGTTAGGTCAGATCGTCTTCTTTTGAGCCAAAGAATGTTGTAGTACCTTTTTGATAATGTGCTTATGGACACCCTATATATTCCAAATAAAAAAGAGACAATCAGACATAAAAAGCTCATTGTTTGTCTTAAACGACTTAGTATATTGGGATGCGGTTTTCATCCTTCAATATTTCTCGAATTCATAACTTCTTAACTATGGTTACATCTCATTAGTGAATATGAGAAACCCTCACAAAAGTATCTGTACATCTGTATTCTGTATATTTATTTAATTTTTGAAGGGAGGAAAATGTACATTGCTCATCATACCGTCGTTTCCATTGTTTCCAATGGAACCACCGAACAGGTATGTGCATTTCCTGGACTGCGATTCCGTTGCCGCAGCAGCACCGCACGTTAAACAACTGGATGTGTGCAGTGCGCCTAAGCGAGACCATCAACAATAACATTGTTGCCTTTTTTATTATGTTCATAATTTATATCGATGAAATACATAACATGTCGGCAGGTTTCATTTTTTCGCAGAACTGTAAAATATTGCAATGAGAATGGTATAATATTAATAATAACGTCTTTAACTAAAAAAAAAAAACAATTTCCTAAAGAGATTCGGCAAACCGGGAATAAAAACATTTCAAATAAGAGACTTGTTATGACTTTTGATTGGACATTTGCGTAAATCAAAGGTGTGCTTGCACAAGACTTTTTAAAGTTTGTTCAGGTTTGACGCGTAAAATCATTTGTGGAGGAATCAATACATATTACAGTTGCTTTACCAACATGTTTTATCAATTAATTTGCAGCTTAATGCCGTAAAATTTAGTAGACATAAGTAAACATATTTTAGTGTATTTTAACCATCTCAACATATTTTCGTAACAAATCAAAGTGAATTGCATAGAAGAGCGCAAACCTAATAATTTAATATCGTTTATGATTTCGGTTATTTACGTATGCATTTCCTAATTTAAAACTTTAATAATACCTATCAGTTATTTATATTTTATCATTTGATTTACTAACAGTATTTGCTACCCTTCATAAAAATGGTTGAAAATTAACTCGCAAACTAAATGTTATAAACTATGCTTTAAATATGCGTGTTGAATGTCTGTATATAATCTATCAGAATTTAATATATTTTCGTTTTCTTGTTCACTAATTCTGTAGTATCAACGGTTTAGTAATTTAATAAAATAATAAATCTCAGAAACAAAGTCTGAAGATTATAAAACTGAATGATCTCCTTTTCCAAAATTTTATTTAAGGAAGCTTTTTATCATAAATTATTTTTACAGAAAGATCCACCCGATGATATATGTTTGATAACTTTCAGAATTTGTTTTTGAAAAAAAAAACAAAATAATAATAAAAGTTATGTACCGTCATATAAATGTTTCACTGCATAATTCATTTAATTGGTAAGAAGAAAGAAAGAAATTTTATTGTGAGCTTTTACAAATATCTTAAATACCTTGACCGAATATAACAGAAATTGCAATAAAATTTAATTTCTTTTTTTAAAATGTACAGTAATTTGTAGTTAATAGAATTTCTTTCATTTTTTTAGGAATTACTTAAATTTTATTATTGAAGAACTGAAAGATCCAGTTAGGTAAGCTTCTAAAATATTTCTATTTTTACTTATGTTTTTATATATAAATCCATGAAAACATTTACATATCCGATCTCTAGTAAAATATGAATAATGGTGGTGTGCAGAAAATGCGTTTCTTTGACCGAAATTGTAAGATGAGTTAATGAATTGATAATATAAATTTTTATGTCAGAAAGGTTTTGCACATGCTCATTAAGCGTTTGTTTTGTGCTATGGGTTTTGCGTTCTTTATTGTGTTGTAATTATGAATTTTCTGCACAATTAACAGTTATTTAGTTAGGTACCTATTTTAGTTAACTATATTTATATGAATTAAATGCAAATGTAGAAAATATGTGAAACGTACTGTTCCAGAATAATTCGAAATATGGGCATTTATGCATAGAACTAGATCTTCCCTGCGCACAATTAATTAACTTTTTAAATCTATAATGATCCATATTTTTATAGAGGTCGATGGTGTAGAGAGCGTTCCATTTTCCATTTTCGATGTCATACTAGAGTATCACTGTTAACTAACGGTGGAAAGCTGCGATTTTCAAAAACGTTGGCAACATTTTTGAGAGAAATCTTCAGGTCAAAACAGATTTTCGATGTTTCTTAGTTTTACAGTTGTTATAGTGTAAACAATACAATTTTTCAAATTTGGGGTGACCCCAGTAGCGATTACAGTTGGATTTTTCTGAATTTTTACACTATCGTATTTTATCTGGAATCATGAAAATCATAACTGGCTATGGCCTAATTGAGAAGAGGGTGTTCTGCACTTTCCAAATATGTTGTTTGTCATACTTATCCCAGAAAGTAAAAAGTGTCACCGACTATATGATTTTGTTATTCTCCGTAATAAGCTATACAGGGTGGTCCGAATTTTATACAGGAAACTTCGAGGGTGGATAGATCTCTTTAAAATAATATGTGTTTGCCTTATAAACATAGGTCTGGAACAGCCCCGTTTTAGAAATACAAGGTGTTGAGGTTTAAAAAAAATGATGTTTTTGTTTATATCGCACATTACAGGTGGTGTAGAAAGGAATGTAAATAATTGCACTTACTTTTAAACATAAACAAATATTCTTGTAATATTATCGTTAGAAGTGTCTGCCACAAGGGCATTGTATTGGTATGAATAACTTGAGAACGGCTAATCTTAGGGAAAAAATTAAAGTCACCTTTTTTACGTATTTTATGCATTGAAATATAAATCAGTTACAATGACATGTAAAAAATGCAGAGACGTAGGTTTTTTTTTGTAAAAAAGGGGTGACCCCTGTTCAGTTGTACCCCACTGGTTGAACCTTTAAAGCTCATATTTCATGAAATATAAGGCCTACTATCATACATTATATGAACCAAATTTTATTGAGATCGGTTAATAGATTCCGGAGATATAAACAAAAAATCAATTTTTTTTTTGACAACTTCAACACCCTGTATCTCCAAAACGATGCCGTTCCAGACCTATGTTTATAAAGCAAACACGTATTATTTTAAAGAGATCTATTTGCTCTCGAAGTTTCCTGCGTGAAATTCGGACCACCCTGTATACAAAAATGGCATCCGGTTCTCTTTAGTAGCGCAATTGTTGTTAGTCATGACCAACTTTATCCTTTTTCCAGAGTTAGAGTAAAAACTGGTTCTTTCTTTTTTATTAGATAAGTATCACAAACTATATAAAAAGCACAAAACATGTTCTTGTTAATTAAGGTCGAGACCGACTATAATTAAAAAAAAAAAATGCTGAATCTGTACGTCGAAATTCATTATAGCTGTTAAAAAAAAAGTATGCCGCTGGATTCTACGCGAAAAAGAAGTACCTACTAAATGGTCAATATTAAAAAATATCCAACCAACTCCAAAAGTAAAAAACGTATCGAAAATCTTTTGTGGTTTGAGGATATCTCTCAAAAATGTCGTATTCACGAAAACAACCACTTTTGTGCTTTAGTAGTAACTTAACATGACCTAGAAAATGGGATGCACTGTACAAGTAGGTACATCCATAGGTCTATAATATTTTATTTTTGCAGAAATCTCCCATTAGCTATAGCGATTTCCTGTACTCTGGTTACGATAGTGTATGTTTTGACCAACATTGCATTCTACACCACACTTTCTCCTGTCGAAATATTGGGATCAAAAGCTGTTGCTGTCACATTCGCGAATAGGGTGTTTGGTCCATTTGCATGGACCATTCCTGTTTTTGTGGCTCTCTCTACTTTCGGAGCGGTGAATGGAATCCTGTTGACTTCCTCAAGATTATTTTACGCGGGAGCTTGCTACGGACAGATGCCAGAGGTCTTGACTATGATCCAGGCTCAAAGGATGACACCAACACCATCGGTATTAATAATGGTAAGTTTTGAATGTTATTCCTTTAGTACCACGCGGGTCGGTTCTTCAAATAATCTGTGGTATTGTATCCAATTCTGGCCCAATGTGTCTATTTGACAAGTCCATTTATTCCCTTCACAATGTACAGAAGTCTTCTGGGGAATATTTTCCTTAACTTCCTCGTGTCTAAGGTTTATCAAACGTGGACTCTTCTTCAGTTCTTTTGTAGTGTTGACTTTTCTCATACTCAATTAATTGATTCTTTTCTACTGGTGAATTTAAATATTTCATTCACATGAACCAACCCTAGCCCTGAATTTCATTATTCACCATCATTTTTTCCATACATCTCCCAATGCATGCTTAATGGCATAATAGGGAATGCCAAAAGCTTAAGGAATGCCATAAGCTACCTTCAGTCATAGGAAAATCATTCTAGATCATTTTTCTTCATCTTGGATTAACTTAAAAATTTAACTAATTCGAGATAAAAATTTATTGAATTTTTGTACAAATTATTCAGAATTCCAGAAGGTTTATTAAAAGTACAGCCAGATCGTTTCAAAAGACATTTTCTAGCGTTGATTGGTTGCTAAATTTCTTTTGTCATGTATCTCAGGGAAGTGAGTGAGATCTAAACTATAAAGAATGTTACATCTTATTTGTCAATGGTACTCAATAGCTACTGGTATTGCTTTCTAAATACTGGCAGCAATCGACCTACTAATCTATAAGTACTATGAAAGCATAGTTAGTGTCGCACTATTCATCTATGGCCTATCCATGAGATATAGTAAGTTTGAAAGCGGTCTATAGAACAGTAATTTTATTTCCTTCATGTTGGCAATTAAATTTCTGTTTCACCGACTGTAATGTGTGTAATTTTTCGTGAGATTCTATTCAGCTAATCAGTGTTCGCATTATCTCGAACGTAGATGTAACGATTTGTCATTGTTCACTGTAAACGAATAATTAATATCGATGACGCCAAGATTTAGGGAATTTTCGTTATCAGTACCAACCCTGCATTGTTGGTTGCCTAGACTTGACAATTTCGTGGCTTGTAAACATTTTTGAAGGTTCTGTAACTAACTGTTTGCTTGAATCAATATACGTTTCAACATTATTTGCAAAGTATGGGTGCACGAATACCATATTGGTCTAAGTTCAAATGAAGAAAAATAACTTACTTGTCCAAAACGTAAAAATTAAAACTACTTTTAGATACGCGCCTTTACATTATTTCTTATTTATGGGTGCACAAAGATTGTACTGGTCTATGACGATGAAGAAGTATTTGCCCATGATATAAAAATTAAAGCCAATTTGTATTATGACCTTATTTTTCGCTATTATGGAAAATATCGAACTATACATTTTTTTATTGTTATTTATTCCTTTTGGCTTAAAATAAATATATTATTATTGTTTATATTTGCAGAACGGTTTGGAGAAATTGTTTAGCTGCACCATTAAATGGTCCTTAATACTTCCCAGTATTATTATTTAGTCACGATTTAAACTGTTGTAGGTATCAATAGAGAAATGCTTTTTTAATTAAATAGCTGTTGCTGCTGGGAAACCTTAGATTTATGCCACTGCAATATTAGATACTTTAAATCCAATTTAGGTAATCTTACTTGATGTCAGAGCTGATCGTACATAAATATCCCCGTCTTTGCTTTACTAAAATTTGAAATCAATGCCACCAATTGCATTCTTTATTCCAATTTATAACGCAATAGTGTTAAGGTGGGCGTTTCTAAGCAAGTTAGAAACAATATCTTTTCTCCAGGGTATAAGACAACTGACAATACATTCAAAATAAGGAAATAAACGCATATTTTTTACCTCATATGTTTATCTTACGTTTCCTAAATTTTGCACGCCTGTTGAACCTACAGAAAATCGTGTACGTTACTGTAAACATAATCACACCCCACAGAATGCTTTAGGAAACTGTTAACACATGCATTCAGTTATTGAGTATCTACAAATTTGCTGGACAAAACAGGAAAGGTACGTTTTTCTGATGTTTACTCTGTGATCTTTCAATGTGAAAAGTTAAAGGAAATTGCTCTAGTTTAGTGTTATGCTTCGTCATTTCCTGGATGATCTATACTTGTTCTGTCATTGTCTTATTAAAAGTACCATTTCTTGTCCATAAAACGCCAGCCTTTCTAGTCAGCCGCAATAATAAAAATTCTTCGAGCAATTTTATATACCTATAAACATATATGAAAAATTCTTTAGTATATGAAATACATATATGAAAAATTCTTTAGTATACATTCATTATATTTCTCATGGGAAAAGTAAGGAGAATATTTAATGAAGATAATAGTTATACATGAGTGAGTATATTTTGCAGCTTCCTTATTTAAGTCCTCTTTAAATGTTTACTGATCTAGACAAGAATACAGTTACAATTTGTGTTTTTGTGTTTGAGCGATTAATGATAGCATCAGTGACACTCAAGCTTTTTAGTCACTACGTATTTTACAGAATGTGTAGATATATATTCAGACATATTTTGTTATGTTATTTGTTGTATTCGTCCATGAAAAACAACTTTACTCTTTCGACTGATCTGTATAATGGTTCCATATTATAATATGAACTTATAAAGTAGCTGAACTTATTATTATTTGTTTCATTATAGATATAAAACAAAACAAAAACGGCTACGAAAATATTTCACTCTGATAAATCGGAAAATGGAGTTGTAGGTATGTGTATTGATAGATATCATAAAATCGATTGTGCACTTGCCTTCATAGTTACCTACTAAAGTAGTAATAGGTAAACTTCAGGTTTGTATTATCTCTCTTTTTGCATAAAATTATAGAAAATTCACCATCCAGTATCTTGAGAGGCCCTTAAATGAAAAGTGGTATGAAAAAGTCCCATTATTTTCGTCTAAATTTACTACTAACGGGTTGACCTACATTTTTAACACCCTGTATACCTTATTTTTAAGTTCACGATATTTTACATATAACGCCACAAGTCCCAAGTAACTGCCTTCAAAACATCAAACGACTAACGTTATGAATTTCTCCATAGCGTCTTTCTATTTATTGATTAATTTGCCTTCGGTATTTTAATCCTTTCATTAAATAATACATATGTATATTTCGTGGCCTGTATTTAGTTGGCTGTTCATTTGGCCAACAACATATTTTATTTATTTCAATTATGTATGTCCTCAAACAATGTTATTATATTGATGGTAAATTTCGTTTTGTTTCGTTTCAAAAGGTGTCCAAAATGCCATGTTGTAATAATATTTGTAAACAAAATATCCCATTTATTTCTCCCTTTAGCAATTGTAATATTAATTAATTATTATTATAGATAGATTAATAGAAGGTGCCTATAACAAATTAAAATTACCTGAATCACACCAAATTCCACATTGCTGCACTGCACTGCTAGGCAATTTGTCAACCACTCATTAACAACTGAGATTTATTGCCCAGTCGCCCAGTGTGTTATAAGCCGTTTCCTCGCGTGTGCATTATTCAACTGGTCGTATATATTTCTATCACCTCCACGCACGCACGGTTAGTTCGACTAGACCTGTATATGGGTATGGCTAAATCAATATGGAAACAAGTTTTTCAAATATTTCAATGACGAGTTACTGCGTCAGCGACCGAATCTGGTACATATTGCCAACCATATCCCTAAAACTTCTCTAATTTTTAAAGCAGTTAAATTTCATTATGAAATTGGCTGTTAGAAATATGGATCTTAAGTTAAAAAAATGTTAACCCTTACCATATCCCTAAAACTTCTCTAATTTTTAAAGCAGTTTTAAATTTCATTATGAAATTGGCTATTAGAAATATGGATGTTATAAATGAGTAATCTTTTGCAGTTTAAACTGTGTCATTTACTTATTACAATTGTTACAATTTATCCTCTTTCCGTATCAGTAAGTTTACACCAGTACATAATTTTAACCAGTATGCACCACACACCAGTTTTTAGCCTAGATTGACCACATCTGTTAGTTATTTTTATATTTCGCACAGTTTCTGAAATATTGAGAGAGAAACGTTTTTAATTGATATATGTAGAATGCAGGGTGCCCGAAGTCGAATGAGCTACACTTGATTTCCTTGGAAGACAATAAACCAATTTAGGTTAAGTTACATCCGTAGCATTGTTTAGTTAAAAAATTATGGGCATTAAAGACATTTTTCTGTTTTCAATTTGTTAAAAAACTTCAATTTTTAAGATATTTCAATGAAATCTAGTAAAAGTAGAGGAGAGGGGGATGGGGGATAAAATAGCCGACCATAAATATGAGCTTATTTCTTACCTAGAATATAGGAATAGTTATTTTTGGCGTCTTCGGCTACCCTGAAAACCATGCTATGTCAAATTTCCTTAAAATATCTATGAAAGTAACAGTTATTTAATAAAATTGAACTATGATAACTTTCCAAATGGATTCAATTTCTTTCAAGGAAACTATATCAGAACTATTACCCATTCGGATACCCCCTATATGTAGTACTTTTACCTTTATTAATAACTCATTTTCTTATTTGTATTTTATTTTCCAGGCACTTCTGTCGATGTTATATTTAACGGTATCAGATATTGACGCACTGATAAATTATGTAGGCTTCGCTACATGGGTAAGTAACTTTTAATGATTAATTTTTATTTCAGTCAAAACCGTGTCAGAATTTTATTATGGGGAAATAAAAGTTTTAGTAGATTGTTTGTTATGTTGTTGTGTGTTAATTGTTTAATCAATTTCTGTACTTTCTATTTTGTACGAAATTGTGTAAAATTAGTTTTTAATTAATATTCCATTACGAAATTAAATATTGTTTTAAATTTTAAAGAATCTCTATTATAAAAGCTTATTTAAAATTTAAAGTCACATTTCCTTTCAATTCGGAAGTAGTCCTTAACAAAAAATTCAGTTGAATGATACATGTAATTGAAATATTACATTTTTATTTTTGTTTGGATATTTTGTTTCATAAAGAAGTCTTTTGGAAATAAAAAACATCTCTTTCATACAAGAATAGAAAATGAAAGAAGTTGGAATAGCAAGGATATTAGAAAGGTCACATTGCACAAATCGATGAAAATCAGGAAATGAGTCTTTCTCTCTCAGAGATACTTACATAAATAAAGAATAATCAGAACAGAATATGACTTGTGTTATTACTAATACATTTAAAAATTTTTATTATAATAAAACAAAAAATTTTACGTATTGAAAACCACAATTAATTTGTTTTACAGATTAACAATTTTATTAAACATGTATAGGGTGAATTAAATAGGAATGACTCATATTATCTTCAAATATTAAAACTCTCACTAACTTTTTTAAATACTTAGATATTTTGAAGAATCTGGAACATGTTGACAATGAAATGTAAAAGAGATATTGAAACGAAGGTTTTAAAACAGAATTTTAAATTGTGAAATTAATTTGTTTTTTGACTTTGAATCATGTAAAAGTATACCTTTTTCTAATTTTGAAAATATTGGTTTAATTTTCTTTTTTGCCATATTTTTTTTTGTCACTTAGCATATCCTCTTAGATATTTGGTTATTATTATAGTGATGTTGATCAAAGTTTTCACCATTTCTACTGGATTTATAATACAGGGTGATTTCACTTTACAGAAACTACAGGAGTAGATTAGTTGCCAATAAATAACAGTTTTCTCTAAAAACTTTTTTCTGTGGGAGGTGGTACTCGAGGTATAGGTTGTTCAAGTTTCCAAAAAAAAATATGTTTTCTGTCATATCTTCATATAACGCTGAACGTTTTGAATGAAATTTATTACAGTGTATTCATTTAATTAGACCTTTTATTGAATGTAATAGTAACCTCGTAGCATTAACCAGTGGCATGCTACTGTAGGAGCCGCTTCCATTCACAAGAAAAAAATACGCCACTGGCGGATTTTTGTAGAAATAATATACTTAGGTATAGTTGTTACGAATATGGTAATATAGCTCGGAATATAGTATATCTAGACAAGACAGGGCTAAATTTTTCTGGACGTCTATGGATTCCGTAGAATTTATGAGTTAAATGTTTTTATGCGGTTCCAATTGAGATCGTAACAACTAAGTGGTGTTTTTTAATAGTAGCAGCCGTTTAGGAGATAATTTACTTATTTGCGGACCATAATGCCATAATTTTAAAGCACAGAACCGTATGCACTTCTCCTGAAATTTCTCCCTATGCTTTGAACATGATGTGTCACGTAATTTATACTCGAATAGCAATTCGGCGAGTCCGGTATCGGTAAACTAGTCCGCCTGATGTAGAATTGACGGCGGCGCGCTGGTCATCAAAGCAAATCTGTATTGGTCCACTAGGTCGTAAATAATTTTTTTGTATGGTACACGGATTCACTTAGCTTTGACGCGTTGACAGTGCAGTGCAGAGCATTGTTGATATTATTAGCTTTGTTCGCACAGCCGTTCAAACTAGTTCGGGACCGGTCAGAAGCAGTCGTCCAGCTACTTTCTCTGCTACTTCCCACAAGCATAGCATAAAAGAAGTAGCTAGACGATTGCTTCTGACTGATCCCAAACTGGTACGAATAGCTCTGCGAACAAAACTATTATTTGTTCATATTGTTCATATCGTAACCAGTAAAGGGTAATAGTTATTAAAATAAATGTTATCTAGTAATTTAGCGTGGCTCTTTGAAGATTCTTTGAAGCGGAGGACAACGAAATAACTCAGGAAAATCCCCAAATAGTGGAAATGAATTTTGTTGAAAGCATCGAAACAAACTCAATAGTTAAAAACAAAGATTTACACGTCCAAAGTCGATGTATTATATTAAATATAATATGAATATTTGAGAATTGAAAATAGTGAACCATGTGATAAAAAAGTTAGGAAAGATATAAAAAACGACAATTTATTGCATAATTAAAGAAGGATTGATCACCGTACAAAGAGGAAACGGAAAAATACAAAATTAAAGAAAATTTGCGATTTTACCAGATGTACTGCGGCGCACAATTAATTTATAATATGTATAAAGAAAATAAAGTTCCTACTTTAAACATGATAATTTACTTATTTGCGGACCATAATTCCATAATGCGGACCATAAAATTAGTTCACATATTCATTTGTTTAAAATCCATCTGCAAAAATTGATTCTTTTGTCTACATTATCAGCTTTACGATAATCTCGTTTTAGTATTTTAACTAGCTTTGTTTATTTATTCCTAAAACTGCAGTCCTTATGAACACGAGACGAATTGTGGCAAAGAATAAAGGAAAATTGCAATCTGCTCAGGGAAAATCATATCGTGATAAGTTCCTCTATAAATAACCTGATTAGAATACTCGTATGTCAGAAGTGTATCGATGCGGAAGGACTTCGTTTTGGATAATTATTGCCGTAGGACTCGTTACTTAACTACTTACTCGACCTATTTGCTAATTAATGTTATTATTTAGTTTGATATTCTTTCCATAAATTATTTCTACAAAAAACCGCCAGTGGCGCATTCTTTTCTTGGGAAATGTTGGCGGACGCTTTAGTAGCACGTCACTGGATAAAACCAGGAGGTTTTCATCAAATAAATGTATTAATTTATTAGGAAAATTCAATAAAACGTAAAAACAAGCCCAAATATCTCCGAAACGGCTGCTACTGTTAAAAAACACCAAGAAACATGTTTCCTTCAATTAACGTAACAGTACTTCAATGTAACATTATGTCTACAGAAAACCGTCAGTGGCGTATTTCTTGGGAAAATGGGTGGCACCTCCAGTAGCACGCCACTGGTTAAGTCACAAGGTTAATAAAAAAATCAATAAAAGGTCTAATTAAGTGAATATGTTGTATTTTAACACCCTGTATCTGGAATACCGACTCCCGCAATAATAAAGTTTATAGAGCAAACTCTACTTATTTTCTGGTAATTAATCTAGTCCTGCAGTTGCTATGCTGTATTTAAAGTGAAATCACCCGGTATAAAACATTGCTCTGTTAGATAAATTGCAATGGAATATCACATAGTGTTTCTGTTTTGAAAATACAGAGTGTGCCTAAAATATGGTGTCAAACTGAATCACAAAGTAGAACATATTATAATCAGATTCTTTCCTACGTAGGTATCGAAAATGATACATCGCATGGGTGGTAAAAGTGTTCTACCAAAAACACATTTTTACAATGTAAAATTCTGAAATTACACGAAATCCAAAACAAACAATGTATATGTATACATTGGTGGAAATAGGGGATATAGTCGAGGGTTTTTGTTTAAAGTAAACCTTATGGCCTTATCGAAAAAGTGATATACATATTTTCTGAAAGAATGTATCAAATGACACATAAATAATATGTCCTTGATTAATATACAGGGTGTCCCGAAATTCATGCAACAAAATTAGGTCACAGATTCTTAAGACAAATTTAGGAGACCCGTATTTTTTATTTTTGTTAAGTGGCCCCCTCTTTCGGAGTTACAGCCCCCTGAAGTCCGCCCCTAAGAATAATCTTTTTTTTATATCTCAGAACCCTGTTGTAGAAGAATCACTAAATTTGGTACACAGGGGTTTGATGACATGTGGAATCTGATGGTGCTACGTTTTTTGGTGGGGAACTCCCTTAAGACAATTTTTCGTGGGCCCCCTTGTCTTTGGAGCCAAAAAAATTTGGTCGCATATTTAAATTTCTTAAAAATTATCAGTCCAGTAGAAAGCCATTAAATTTAGAAACTTTTTTTGTCTCTTTATACTTTTTTAAAAAACGCAATGTTTTCGAGAAAAATGTCAAAATGTGATCGAAAGCATATCGTGATTCGCCATTTTCCTCAAAAACATTGCGTTACGAAAAAAATATCAAGGGACAAAAAAGTTTCTAAATTCAATGGCTTTCTAGCAAACTAATAATTTTAAAAAAATATCAAATTTGCGACCAAATTTTTCTGGTTCCAAAGACAAGGGGGCCCACGAAAAAGTGTCTTAAGGGGGTTTGTCGCCAAAAAGCGTAGCACTGCGAGATTCCACATGTCATAAAACCCCTGTGTACCAAATTTAGTGATTTTCGTACAACATGGTTTTGAGATATAAAAAAGACTTCTTGGGGGCAGATTTCAGGGGGCTGTAACTCCGAAAGAGAGGGTCAGTTGGCAAAGAGAAAAAATACGGGTCCCCTAAATTTGTCTTAATAATCTATGACCAAATTTTGTTGCATGAATTTCGGGACACCCTGTATAATGTATTTAATATTAACATTTTGCGACTATTATTATTTATAAAAATTATTTTTGCATGAATGTTCTTAATTTTATTAGTGTAGTGTGAGTAAAATTACGAACAATCTAGGACGCCTCGAAAATGGTGCTTATTTCAATATTGAACGAGAGTAGGTACCTATCCTTTTTTTATCTCATTTGAAAAGTTCTATTAGAAAATATATTATCTCCAGAATTACAAATTCTTTATTTTGTAAGAAAATTCTGGATTGTATTCTGTATCTCGGCCATTGCGTGAGCCCAAAAATTATTTCCTATATCAGATATTAGATTATTGCTATTGACTGTCTGAAGCCCTGCTGAATTTCATTTATATCTCATTTGTATCTCCTGTATCTTTTATATATTCGCGCGACTTTACTTCTAAACCATGACAATCTTTATTTACTTAATCGTTACCTATTATTAAATTTCAGTTAAGTATTGGAGTAGCAGTACTGTGCCTTCCTTGGTTGAGATGGAAGCAGCCGGATCTAGAACGACCTATTAAAGTGAGCCTTTTCTGGCCAATACTTTACCTACTCTGCACAATTTTCGTAACTGCCGTACCAATGGCTGCCAGTCCGTATGAAACTGGAATGGGTGTACTTATGATTTTGTCCTCGGTTCCAGTTTACTACATTTTCGTTTACTGGCCCAAACCAAAGTGGTTCCAACAAGGTTCTAGCAATGCCACCATGTTCCTTCAGAAAATATTTGTTGTGGTCGGCAAATCGAAAACGGCGAAACTGTGAGCGACGAAAACATATCTTTAATTATTTATTTAAGGAATGTCTATAATTGTTAAGAAATTTATGGCACCAAAGAAACCAACGTATTTATTTTCGATTTATTCGATTCTATTTAATAAAACTGACCAACCACTTCTAATTATCTACGTCGGTTGGATGTCATGTAGATATAATATATTGGATGGTCAGGATTATTTATACACGGTATATCTAAACGCTTGACCAACTTTTAATGGTGAATATCAATTCTTCAAGTTGGTTACAAAAACACGCATGTAAATATTTTTGCATACTCAGGTAAATTTGTTGAATTTGAATAATTTTTACTGGAGGAATATAATTCTGGTTTAAAACAACATGATGTTTATAGTTGCTGCACCACATTTTGTAATAACACTCTGGGCTGCGGTATCATTTTTCGTTCCCGCAGAATTTCCTCGAGAATTTTGTTTGAAAATTGATTTTTATTTTCCACAGTCTTAGATATATTCCTCAGCTACAGAGGGTGAACGCCACCTATTGTACCTTTTAAGGCCTAAGATAAATCTGTTCCTTGGTTTGAAAGAATAGTGGCACTTCGGAATGCGTGTCCAGTATAAGTTGATTGAGCAGCAATTTTAAGCAATGTGCAATTTTACTGGGCCAACTTCCTGTGGTATTTTTACCCACTACCTGGTTTGTGACCTTCCCATCTCGCATTTCCAAGAATAAGTGAGCTAACTTTGCCTGTTTTGGTCGTAGTGCTAGAAATTCTTTATAAAATTCCAAATTATTAACTGTCTCGTTTGCCTGATTGGTTATTGCAAACGTTCGTGATATATTTTTAGTGTCGGGAATATTTACTGTTATAAATACACGTTTATCTTCAATGTCATTTATTTTCATATTATGTATTTCTTCCCTTCTGCACGCCCCTGCTACTCCAAATATTATTCCTACTTTTATATTTAAATAAACTTCATCAGAAAAATTATTTAAAAACTTGTACATGTGTTTTCTGATAAAGATTCTTGATTTCTCACTTTATGTCCAATATATTTGCTCTGCAATTAACGTAGCATATTTTGAAACATCAACAGTGTTAAAGAAAAATATTGTGGCTTTGAGCAGAGTATTCAGACCATAAGCTTCCTGGAAACTTTAGGGTTTCATATCTTGAAACAAAATAGGCTAGCATTACCTTTCCTGTGATATTTTCAAATTTTTTCTTGTTACACCATGCTGCAAATAGCTAGAAGATTTTCTGATATCTCTCTTTGTCATAACTTACAAGAAGCTTGAGCAATGGTAAAGATATTATCTTGGAGAAATTTCTAATGACAGCAGATGTCACTTGACAATAAATATTCGATCTCATAGTAACCAAAGCGAACACTTCATCATGTTTGATTTATACAGGGTGTTTATTAATTGAATGCCGATACTTAAAGGTGTGAATGCTTGGGTCATTTTAAGAAGAAAACTTAATATCAACATATGTCCTAAACCTCTTAATTTTTGAGCTACAGGGTGTTACAGTTTTAAGAAAAAATTTACTTTTTTATTATAATTTTCTTATCACTCCAGATATTTTTATGAAATTTTGTACACACCTATTAATCATTAAGGAGCATTGTTTGATGTAAAAAATGTTTTAAAATCTTTGCCAATGACGTCCGTACGAGGTTTGAACTAAACATTTTTGAAGAAAAAAATGGTACGCCACTGCTTTTTCTAAAAACTAAAATTATTTTTAAAATCTCCATTTATTTTACAGCAAATTCGGTCCCTAGACTTACTCTCGTACGACGCACCATTTGCACGTAAAAAAATGAAAACCAAAAAAAGTTTTTTCCCCAAGTTCATTGAGACTGCTTTTGATATTTTGTTGCCATTTTGTAGACACCCACCATGCGTGGAAACACTTTTTGTGGGGCAAAAATTAATTTTCTACTTTCACAAATGACGTTCACGTAGGCATAATATTAAATGTTTGGATAGAAAAAACGGTAAGCTCATTAAATGCCCCCTTAAAGCAAATGAAATAAAAATTAGTAGGCTGGGTAAAGTGCCATAATTTTTTACGCTTCTTTTCGCAATAAAGTTGACATTGATTTTTCATTATTAAAAAATTATTAGAGTAGGAGGTAAAATCTCATAAAAAATGGTAAATTTTACAATCGGTGAATTAGCTGACATGCATTTTACTTATGGGGTTGCCGACGGAAATGCATACGAAGCCAGGAGGATATACCAAGAGCGGTATCCAAATCGCGTACTACCCGATCCGAGAACATTTTCTGGGATTCATAGACGTCTTCACGAAACCGGAAATTTAAAAGTAGACCACAGTGCTAAAGGAGTCCCTGAAACAGTAAGAACACCGGAACTTGAAGAAGGAATTTTACATGAAATTGAGGAGAACCCCGAAACTAGCACGAGGAAAATCGCGGCAACATTTAATGTTTCACACGTACTTGTTTGGAAAATTCTTATCGAAAATTTGTTATATCCATATCACATTGAAAGAGTCCAGGCATTACTCCCTAGAGATTTCCCGTTGCGCATTAATTTCTGTGAGTGGTTTCTTCAAAAGCTGCTGGAAAATCCGTTATTTGACAGGTACATTCTTTTTACCGATGAAGCTAGTTTTTCTCGAAACTCAATACGAAATTTCCATAATAACCATTTGTGGGCGGATGAAAACCCTTTTGCAATTGTTGAATCAAATCATCAAGAACAGTTTTCAATAAATGTTTGGGCTGGTATTATTGACGATTATTTGATAGGCCCATTTTTTCTCCCAAGAAGATTAGATGGACAATCGTATTTACACTTTCTTGAAGAAGATCTGCCGCCAATGCTTGAAGACCTTCCTCTTTTATTAAGAAACCAGATGTGGCTAATGCACGATGGTGCGCCTCCACATTTTAGCTTACGGGTGCGTGAATTTTTAAATCACAACTATCGCGATCGGTGGATAGGCCGCGGAGGAACGCAGTCATGGCCGCCCAGATCTCCCGACCTTAATAGTTTAGACTACTTTTTCTGGGGTCATCTGAAAAGCTTAGTGTACGCAGTGCCGATTCAAACCGAAGAAGAGTTACGAAATCGTATAATAGTATGCTGCCAAACCATAAGAGACACCCCAGGAATTTTTGAAAATGTACGTCAGTCTATGCGAAGAAGAGTAGATGCTTGCATACGTGTGGGTGGAGGACACTTTCAACAACTACTGTAAATACATAATAAATACATTATGACACTTTACCCAGCCTACTAATTTTTATTTCATTTGCTTTAAGGGGGCATTTAATGAGCTTACCGTTTTTTCTATCCAAACATTTAATATTATGCCTACGTGAACGTCATTTGTGAAAGTAGAAAATTAATTTTTGCCCCACAAAAAGTGTTTCCACGCATGGTGGGTGTCTACAAAATGGCAACAAAATATCAAAAGCAGTCTCAATGAACTTGGGGAAAAAACTTTTTTTGGTTTTCATTTTTTTACGTGCAAATGGTGCGTCGTACGAGAGTAAGTCTAGGGACCGAATTTGCTGTAAAATAAATGGAGATTTTAAAAATAATTTTAGTTTTTAGAAAAAGCAGTGGCGTACCATTTTTTTCTTCAAAAATGTTTAGTTCAAACCTCGTACGGACGTCATTGGCAAAGATTTTAAAACATTTTTTACATCAAACAATGCTCCTTAATGATTAATAGGTGTGTACAAAATTTCATAAAAATATCTGGAGTGATAAGAAAATTATAATAAAAAAGTAAATTTTTTCTTAAAACTGTAACACCCTGTAGCTCAAAAATTAAGAGGTTTAGGACATATGTTGATATTAAGTTTTCTTCTTAAAATGACCCAAGGATTCACGCCCTTAAGTATCGGCATTCAATTAATAAACGTGTATATTTTTACATTAAATTTATTCTATAATTGAGCATGCAAAAAACGTCATAAGCACTGCGGTCATTAAGTGCCTTACTGATGCAGGACATATCGTCAATCAGTAAAGATCATTTACTGACTTTAATAAGTACTTAACGCGAGTACGTGAAATATTATTTCTACTTCAAGAATAAATTGACGTTATAATGCTACTAGCAAAAACTGCCTGTACATGGCATTTTCCTATTTCTATCTAAAAATGCACATGCAGCATTATTATCAATATTATTTAGAGTTGCAATTTAAGTGAAAATCGCTGCAATTATCTTATATAATATTTTTTTTGCTATTTTGTAATGTAGAATCCGTTAAAGTTTGGTCAAGCATTTTACTTTCACTTTGTATAATATACAATACCACTCTTACTTTTTTAATGTTATTCAAAATTTGTTTCTCAATATCTAAATAAAATTATTACTGGCCGTAATCTTAATAAACGGTTTCAAATATCTAAAACAAAATAAATTTTAAATTGTTTCTTGACTTGGGACATTGCCTACATGGACAATAATAGTTTGTATGCATATACCTCATGTAAAATTTAAAAAAATATTATCTATGTGACTTTGTGTTTATTTATTAAATTAATTTTTGGAACAATCGGAATTCTAGTTTATTTTATCACCCTTTCGAGATTGAGAGATTTATCCTTAAACTACAGAATGTAATTCGAATGAACTTCAAATTATCAATGTGAAATAACTTAAAAAGTAGATATTTTTTTTTAGATACGGAATATATGCATATGACAACATAAATTGAAGATATATCACTTTTGAATGCTATTTGTACTTATTAAAATGAAGCAAAAAGTTCCTACGAATTAATGTCATGCAGTGTAAAAAAAAACCTTAAAAGAAAAGGAATGGATGGTAAATGAAATTGAGAAGCAAAACATGTTTTTTTCTTTAACAATACATTAGAGATAAGGTGTTGCAATCATTTTCTGTGTCAATACAGGCTCTATATCTTAATGTGTGCCCTCTCAAATTGTGTTGCATCGTTGTTCTATTTGCTGTAGTATAACTTGCAAGTTCTTAACTGATTCTGGATACTCCAAACTTTTAAGGTACCTAACCTCAATTAAAGACAATGAGAAATGAGGAATACCAATGTGTCTGACGTTCAGTTGCACGTCTACAAGTATTGGAGGTAACACCTCGCAAAAATTTGTAAGATTTAAGTAACTACGCGACAACAGACCTATTAACCTGTTTCCCAGAGTGCCAATACAGACATTTAAACTAAAGCTTTGTTAATATTTCATCAAAAGCATGTGGGTGGATGCTTGTCAGCCCAAATGTTGTGTTATAAAAGTAGAAAATTCCATTCCTTGAAAATATTAATGCTGACAAATTACAATTTTTAGCTATCGTGTTTTATCAAAACTTATTCATAAAATGCTAATCTAATACGATGGGCTGAGTACTTTGGATTTGGCAAGGGTACAATAATAGCTATTCCCTAAGGGTTCTACAGACAAGAGGATGGCTAAAGCTACATGTACCGCAATCTACCAAACTCTACTTCCAAGGTATTCTCCCACTTCCTGCAAATATCTACTACGTGTGTAGAAACAGATCCAGGTTTTCTAGAGTTGATAGAGTTTTTATCAAAATTTTCATTGCTTCGGAGCCACTGATGAAATCTGGTGAGTATTTGAGGAAAATAAACTGGACGGTTGGGAGGATAAGCCTCAGCATACAGACGCCTAAGCTCAAATCCATTATCATTCGCAAGTTCATACAAAAAATTCATGTTTGCTATTTATGCATTGATGATCAACAATGACACTACGTAGGTATTACTAAATAACATTATAACATAAGCAAACAATCAAGATCAAAGTGTACCTAAAACTTATAACGAAATTATTTGGAAACAGGAAAGTTTCTCTCTTCTGCTCTTCTAAATTTTAGAAAAGGGATTATTATTTTCTTAGACAAATGTTAATGTAAGAAAATTTTCTTAACTTTGTACGAAGAAAATACTAGGTTTTTTACGTATATAATCATGTATTATTCTAAAGGACCTCGCACAGACCTTATGGGAATTGACCCTCGGTTAAGATCACTGTAACTGAAATATGTTCCCCACGACCTCCTGATCAAAAGTTCTCATGCCCACAAGGCACAAGGCACAAATTTCTAGACATCAGAGGTTAAAATACCCTTTTTTGCAGCTTGATGCTCATATATTATACCGGCAGATTCAATCTGGAGACCTTTGGTTGCTGATTTCAGATGGTACTGACAGACCCGTCAATGAAAAGTTGACAACTTTAAAAAACTATCAAAATAAATTCAAATAAAGAAAAGGTTACCAAAACGTGGATGTTTTCTACTTTTCTTAATCCGATACCTTACCATTGAAAATAGGTTAGGACTTAAAGGCAACAGTCATGCGCAAACGATTTATATGCTCCCACGCAAGCGCAGTTAGTACAAAACTGCCACAGACATGCGCAGTTGGTATAAAATTGTCACAGACATGAGTAGTAGATGCCAAATGGTCGTATAGGCACGGGTTTTGTCTACGACTCAATTAGTATACAAACTTTTCAAAGGCGTGAATGTGCAGGTCAACAGAATCTGTATATTATCAAGGACTAGCTGACCTCTCTCGCTTCGCTAGGCTTTTTGGAAGATACCTACTTGGGTTGAAGGAATTAACCCTATTATGTGTCAGAGTGGATCTTAGTTAATCGTTTACACAAAATCAAGTCAGTCAACAAAATTTGGTCACAGATACTTAAGACAAATTTAGGGGAACCGTATTTTTTATTTTTGCCAAGTGGCCCCCTCTTTTGTAGTTATAACCCCCTGAAGTCCGTCCCTAAGAATAATCTTTTTTTATATCTTAGAACCCTGTTGTACGAGAATCACTTTTGGTAAACAGGGGTTTTATGACAGGTGGAATCTGATGGTGCTATTTTTTGGCGGGAACCCCCTTAGGACAATTTTTCGTGGGCCCCCTTGTCTTTGGAGCCAAAAAAATTTGGTCGCATATTTAAATTTCTTAAAAATTATCAGACCACTAGAAAGCCATTAAATTTAGAAACTTTTTGTTTCTTTATACTTTTTTCGTAAAACGTCGAGAAAAATGCAAAAATTTGATCGAATGCATATCGTGATTCGCCATTTTCCTCAAAAACATTGATTTTTACGAAACAAATATCAAGAGACAAAAATGTTTCTAAATTCAATGGCTTTCTAGCATACTAATAATTTAAAAAAAAATCAAATTTGCGTCAAAATTTGTCTGGTTCCAAAGACAAGGGGGCCCACGAAAAAGTGTCTTAAGAGGGTTTCTCGCCAAAAAGCGTAGCACTGTGAGATTCCACGTTATAAAACCCCTGTGTACCAAAGGACCCCGCACAAACCTTATGGAAAATGGCTTTCGGTCAAAATGGCTGAAATTGAAATATGATATAGCCTTCCTGAGCAAAAGTTGTCATGGGTCCAAAGCGATCCTATGAGTAGATTTAAAGATATAGAGCTTTGAAGCTAACGATTTCATAGCACGGTGCTGAATATAAGTGCAGGATAAGTGTATGTATATCTCCCTTTCTCCGTATATACAGGGTGAGTCAGTTTTTTGTAGACAAACTTTAACAGGAGATAGAACACATGTTTTTAAAAAGAAAAGTTCCTATAAACATATGTCGTAGAAGGCTTCGTTTCCGAGATACGGGGTGTTGAATATAATTTTTTGTTATATACTCAAATACAAGACTTTTATAAGTTGAAATCTGTTACATTACATACATACAATACATTATTGTGCAGTTGCCAAAAAGTTTTAAGAAGTTGTTAATTAAATATTGTTATAAATTCAAAAAATTTCTCCATAAACATTAACATCAATGTTCATTCAATGTTTTTTTTTTGTAATTTAGTTGCAGTAGGTACATTAGTATTTACGCAGCACATAATAAATAAGGATTGTTAAAATTAGTGTACTAAACAGATTTCAACTTATAAAAGTCTTGTATTTGAGTACGACTTGATATAACAAACATTTATTTTGACTACATTGGAAAGATATAAAGAATAAGAGATTTCGGCTCTTTAGAATCCTTAACAAACCATATTTCGGTAGGTTTCGTTGAAAGAATTAAATATTTAGCCGATAATTGATAAGCAATAAATTAATTTAATACATCAAACACTAAAAATCAAAATAACTCGGAAACGCACAGGAATTTCGAAACAGAAGAAGGGACATTATTTTTGTTAAACTGTATGCAGATAATGAAAATAACAGTTTTTTTAAAGAATATTCATTGGCGTAGATGTTCTGTTTAAGAAAGGGGTTGAGCACCCCCTCCACTCCGCCACTGTGCAAGTTTTTGAACATTCTTACTGCTTGTTTTATGCCCCTTAATCAATAGGCATTATCCCCCAAACATGAAAAAAATCTAAGAATTCATTTATAAGTTATAATGAAAATTCGAGAAAAAAAAATTATATTCAACACCCTGTATCTCAGAAATGAAGCCTTNTTTTTTTTTTGTAATTTAGTTGCAGTACATTAGTATTTACGCAGCACATAATAAATAAGGATTGTTAAAATTAGTGTACTAAACAGATTTCAACTTATAAAAGTCTTGTATTTGAGTACGACTTGATATAACAAACATTTATTTTGACTACATTGGAAAGATATAAAGAATAAGAGATTTCAGCTTTTTAGAATCCTTAACAAACCATATTTCGGTAGGTTTCGTTGAAAGAATTAAATATTTAGCCGATAATTGATAATAAATAAATTAATTTAGTTATCAAACAATAAAAATCAAAATAACTCGGAAACGCACAGGAATTTCGAAACAGAAGAAGGGACATTATTTTTGTTAAACTGTATGCAGATAATGAAAATAATAGTTTTTAAAAAAAATAGACATTGGCGTAGAAGTTCTGTTTAAGAAAGTGGTTGAACACCCCCTCCACTCCGCCAATGTACAAGTTTTTGAACATTTTTATCGCTTGTTTTATGCCCCTTAGTTAATAGGCATTATCTCCCAAACATGAAAAAAATCTAAGCATTCGTTTAAAAGTTATAATAAATATTCGAGAAAAAAAATGATATTCAACACCCTGTATCTTGGAAACGAAGCCTTCTACGACATATGTTTATAGGAACTTTTCTTTTTAAAAACATGTGTTCTATCTCCTGTTAAAGTTTGTCTAAAAAATCTGACTCACCCTGAATATACGGAGAAAGGGAAGATACATACACTTATCCTGCACTTATATTCAGCACCGTGCTATGAAATCGTTAGCTTCAAAGCTCTATATTTTTAAACCTACACATAGGATCGCTTTGGGCCCATAACAACTTTTGCTCAGGAAGGTGAGAGCTATATCATATTTCAATTTCAGCCATTTTGACCGAAAGCCATTTTCCATAAGGTTTGTGCGAGGTCCTTTAGTAATTCTCATACAACATGGTTTTGAGATATAAGAAAGACTTCTTAGGGGCAGATTTCAGGAGGCTGTAACTCCGAAAGAGGGGGCCAGTTGGCAAAAAGAAAAAATACGGGGTCCCCTAAATTTGTCTTAAGAATCTATGACTAAATTTTGTTGCATGAATTTTGGGACACCTTGTATTAGATCTATGGTCTGTGCTATATGGGAAAGTAAACGTATATCAAGAATGAAGGAAAATATGAAACAGGAAATCGAGGGTAGCTTTTCTTAAAATTTATTACATACGATCTGCATGAGTAGGTATAGCAAAGAATCATGTACAGAATACAAAAAAAGACCAGACTGTTTTATTCGCACTAGACGCATGTGAACAAATTTTTTCATTTGTTATTTTAGAATCATATTTTATTATAGCGGGAACAATTTTGCCACTGTGGCAGGGGCAATTCTGGTTTTGATATTATTTTAGTAACAGATATGTTATTCTTTGTGACTTACAAACATATTTTTCGTTTTAATAAATAACACTAAATTGAACGGATTAGACTTTAAAGATTAAAAAATTGGAATAAAAAATGACATTACATTATGTCATCGACTTTGCTCCATTGACCCAATATGTATTATAATTTATATATGGTAATAGGCATTTTGAGAACAAGAAATAATAGAAATATAAAAATAACATTATTTATTAAAAAAAAAACAGAACGAGGTCAAATGAAATAAAATTTGAGGGCACTTTAAACTGTTGGATGAATAGGAATCTTTTATATAAAGTCTAGATTATAATGCAATTTTATCAAAAATATTTATAACCATAATTGATAGAACAAAATATAATTCGATATATAAGTTATATAAGTCTATAACTGAGATAGACAGAGGTATGATTTGATGAAAATTTTCTGAACTAAATTATGTCTTAATGTAAAATGATATATCTAACAATGAATAATAATTATAATAAAGGTTAACCAAATTGCATGAACTACAAAATTCAAAGCTGATACATTTTTCCATTTTTGATATTTTCTGTAATCTAATTTTGATGATTAACAAAATAAATGATTGTAATATGACACAATGTTAAAATTTAATTTAGTTTCAGATAATTTAGAAAAGACAACCCATCACTGCAAAGGTGTTTGAATAATATTCACAATCTATCACTGGCAATTATCCTTTGTTTTATTATTGACATCCATCACTGGGAACTTATTTATGCGGATCCATTGTTGACGGTAGAAACACCCCTTTTGTAGGGATAGAAAATAGTGTAGTTCTTAGAATAGTCCCGATCTAGAGGTAAATTCAACCTATCAGATGCCAGGAGAGCAGCTCCTACACCCATTTCCGTTTTCAGTCGCATGAGCGACATTTCTTCGATTTTAGTATTACTTTCTATCCAACTCACAAAACCAGACCTAAGTAAATCCCAACTTAACCACACCGAACCCACACAGAGTACATGGATTCCCCCTTCCTTGTTCATCAGTTCTGGGGCGGCTTTGGGTATAACCGCGTTTATGTTCCTGGCCAGGAATGTACCGGCTTCTGAAAAGATACAGAGTGCTAGTTCGTCGCCGCCTCTCGCCAGTTCAGCGAGTTTCTTGCAGACGGACGCGATATGAGCTTTGTCGAAGTTCTTATAGAAAGAGTCGAGGATGTCCGCCTGGGTTTTTATCTTGAAATGTTCTTTCACTAATTGCCAAACCCTGTCTATTGGAAATGGAGCCTTTTCAAAGTTGTCCAAGTCGTCGAAACAGTATTTTACGGCCCGATGGGAAATCTTGAAAGCTATAAAAGAAATAATATTGGTTATTAGTAGATAAGTAAAGCAAGGCAATAGTAAAATAATTACTATGCCTAAATGAATTTAAAGTTTCCTATTTATAAAATAGTGTATATGAATGACACTGTGACAAATAGAAATTAGTAAAATTGGTATTGGGTTTGAAAAATATTTTAGATATTTCAAGTTTCAAATATATTCGTAAATGCCACTAACAGAGTAAAACACAAATCAAAACTATAATTTATTCCTTTTTTAGGTGCTATTAAAAAAATATATATTATACAGGGTGGGCCACCAGTAACGCCTCGGTCGCTAGTGACCAAACGGCAAATGTTACAGAAACCTGTATAGGTGGGTATGTGTAGGTTGATTACGGCTACATTTTAAAAATATTTTGAAATATACAGGGTGTCCAAGAAAAGCGTACCATATCAAAGTTATATTTTTTTAAATGGAACACCCTGTATTTTACTGCATTTTTGAAAGCACCGTAAAAAAATGGTGAACTTTATTAAAGGTTCTGCACACCTAGGACTATCTTACTTTTTGTTGAT